ACAATTATCCTGAATAAACACAAAATGAATCACTCAGAAATGGGAATTACACTTACACAAATCTTTAATACAGTCAGAGAGAAGGAAAAATAACAGTTCTTTCTGTGGATATTGTATTTCACTGCATTCTACTGTGAAGTAAATCTAATTATTTGACTCTACAAATAATTAAGTTTGCCCGTGTATCCAAAATACAGGGGGTGTTAGGGGTTCTTGGACCACTTAATTATCACATCCTAAAAAATATTTCACATGTTGAGACTCTATAATTATTTTCTATATTTCTATACTGTGAAGTTTATTTTCATGTTGAAATGGTGAAAGGTTAGGAGCAGTACAGAGATTGTGGCTGACAGTGAACAGCCAGATAATGTGCAGTTATAGTTGTGCTTTATTATACAATAGACCAGAGTCCTGCACAAGGTCAGGTACCCAAAAACACTGTGTAACGGGTAAATAATATATATATACACTGATGGGTACGGGCGGGTAAAAATTAATCAAATGTGGGTGAGAACAAAAATGTGTTGTTTTTTTCTGGAGAAATCAGAAATGAAAATTACTGTGCAGGCTACTTTTAACATTTAAATCAGTTAATTATTATCAAGCCTAATCAGCTGTCAGGATATTTTTTTTTATTGTGAAAGCGTGCACATCCTCTCTGAGGAAACAGCTGCAGCAGGAGGACGGGTGCTGCACCAGTTAACAGAAACTTTTCCAAGAACACAACTCTCAAACCACCAAAACGTAGGACAAGGATGCTCTAACCCAGTAAGCTGTAAAGTTTGTATGCTGGGACATCAGATTGTTCGAAACTGTGAGTGAAGATGGATTTAGCAAACTGACACAGGGCTTAATTGACATGGGTGCCCAGCTGGCCGTGTGGACGCAGCAGCAGCGTACCGAATAGCAACAGTTGGTGATTGATTCAGCCAAACGGCTAATTATGATTTTAATTCATGTTTCTACATGTTACACTTATCAGAATCAGAGATATTTTATTGATCCCCGGGGGGAAATTTGTTTGTTACTGTTGTTCAAGGTGCTCACACAATGTTAAAGAATGGAAATAATACTTATATTACAATCTAACATAGAATACAAATGTATATATATATATATTCAAGTAAAAAATAACAATGAAAATGGAAATAGAAATATAATAAGAGCCTATGTACCTTATAGTAATAATGATAAAATATATACAATATATGCTAATATATACAAAGTAATGTATGCCACAGTATGTGACTGACAAAAATGAAATGAGTAATAGTGATGAATTAAATTATATTATATTATATATTTATATAATTGTGCAAGTAAGAAACTGTGTGTAGCACGGGTTTCGTCCGAGATAATTGCGGGTAATCGGTTGGTTCCGGTTCTGAGCTCTGCGGGTACAGGTTTGCAAAACTGCACCCGTGCAGGATTCTCTGCATAACTTAACAACCTCACTCAAGTATTTTATTTATTTGATTGACACTGCTTGCAACATAAGCGAACAACCCCTCAACTGCAATCACTCTGATTTAAATGTTGCTAAATCCTGATTAGTGCACAGAAGTTTGTGACATCACCTTTTCCAGCTAAGTCCCACCCACTTCAAACCAGTGAGAAGAGCGCAGACAAAAGCACAAATACAAGAATCTTTTATTCGGAATAACCCACACTGTTCTTACTTTGGCATAAAATGGTGTGTTCATATGGGAACTCTCCCCTTATAATAAGAAGCTGATTGAAAAAAAGGTTTTAGGACCTTTAAGGGAGTCCTTATTAATGCAAAGGGAAAAGGAAAAGTCCTTTTACAGTCCATGCATCACTAACCAAACAAATACAAGTATATACATGAACGTATAACTGTCAGAACAGGAGATTTTAATGTGGTGGCCAGATCAACATTTTTCATAGAGAAGAAATTAGGAAAAATTCTTTGTACTTTTAAATTAATTAATGTATATATGATGCGAGTCAGCTGTAAAGTGAATAAATGGATGAGTAGATTAACAGAAGTGACTGCCTCTATCTGAGACCTTATCTTATGAAAACATGTTGGCTTAGCAGTCTATAATTTACTCTACAGCTCTATAGGCCTGGGTGCATATTTTACTGAGCGACGGCCCAGCAGCTCAAACATTGTCAAACAAAGAGACTGCCATATTTAATCAAGATTAAAGGAGAAAAGGTGGAACAGGTGACTGTGAGAGTACCCAGGACATTTACAGGTCCAATGAATAACTCATGATACTGCTGTGATGTGACTGTTTCAGAGTGCAAAGCTGAAACAAAAGATTTGTATGTCCAAAACACTGGTGTCACTTTTTTAGCTAACAATTATCCTTTTAAGTAAGCTTCTATGTGCACATCAGCAAGAGCAGTATGTGGCTGACTTGATGTTAACAAAAATTGCAATTTGTCAGCAACACACACCGAACTTCATTAATGTTGTCATACATGTGAAAATTCCCGAAATATGTGTTTCTATTCTTGCACAATCTGCCCTGTGATATGGATAACATGAGTGATAAAAATGTTGTGAAATGTCAAAATTAAGACGATGGATAGAAACAAAGGCAATGGAAATTGTAATGTTCTACTACACACAGAACATACTGTAACCACAATGCAGCTGGTTGAAACACACACTTATTCACATTTTAGTCCGCAGAGATTTCAGCAGTTCACTTACAACCTGCACAGTAATTTAATGGAAACACAAGACTATAAAACTTAGTCTGTTAACTTAAGTAATGTACTGTACCGAGTACTATTTTGGGGTACATTTTAAAAACTGCTACAATTATGTCCAGCAACTATAATGTATGAATACAATCACAGGAAATACTTATTCACTGTAATATTATAAATAATATACTTTTTTATCATTTAAGTATATTGAGCTGATAATATAATATCTCTACAGTGTTGTATGGTTGTTTTTACCTAAGCAAAGGATCTGAGTCACACAACACAAATCTAAGTAATGATCAGCAACCACATATTATACAAGGCAAAAAACACATGTCTGTTCGAATAGAAATATATGTGTATAAAGCGGTCTCCAACCTAAAAAAAATAATAATTTGACTGTGTACCTGAAAATGTGTTTGTCAGTCTATTGCACATTCATTTGTAAGGCCTCCAGTAAGTGACTGTCCAACGCTTATCTCTCCAGGACTTATAGGAGTTAATGAGAGCAGGTTGACAATGTGAGACTACCTGGAGCCTGAGGGTCTGTCGGGGAGTGAGTAAACCATTAGCCCTAGCCCGGGGGCAAAAGGCTCCTCTAAAAAGTGGAGAGTTCTGCAACACCACTTTATTACTAAGTCTCCATGCAAAGGCTGATACTGTGCTGGTGTTTACTGGAGAGAGGGACAAGCTGCTTTGTCCTGTTACTGCCATTGCAGATATCTAATGCTGTGTACTGTCAGAAACCTGAAGCCCACACTGGTCAAAACAAGCCAGAGATATAACACTGACATACAGTAGCCTAATCCCTGCAACCAACACACATGCACTGGCTTTTTTAGCAAGGCAGTGAGAGTTGATACAGACAAGAGTAATGGGTCTCTCACCTGTAACATGATTCTGTCTTTAGAAGGAGGCCTGAGGATGGGTGGGTGTGCCCACCCTCAGTCCTCCCAGTTGGACACTGCTATTCTGCAGCTCATTGTCTTTGTGTGATGGGTCAAGAAGATAAATCCTCTTAGCTCTCCGGTTTTGCAAACAGCCACAGAAAAATGATAGCCCTGGGAGCATATTTTTGGCATCATATAAATAAGAAATGAAAAAAAAAAAAAAAAGAAGAAATTATACCCCTGAAAGAGTCATCTGGTTTGCAAGCCTACAATCATAGGCCTGTGACACACTTTTAGATACCAAACCATGTAGCACTTTCTTTTAACCCCCCTATAAAGCATGTATTAGCAGTGTATAAACAATTAATATAACTCTTCAATTAACTTCTGTCACTCTTAGCTGTAACATTTTTCAGTGTTTATTATTGTATTTGAAAAACTCCTCCTATAAAGCTAGTAAATAAATGCTTGATAACAGAGAACACAAAAGTTGTAATAATATATGATTATATATCTTCAGTAGTTTTAAACCTGCTGCCCAAACAGTTAATAAATGCTGAATAACTCACTGTAAAAGTCATAAGCCAATAGAAATATCTTACAACTGGTTATTCATAAATTTATTTAAAAAGAGAAAATAAAAAACTTATTATCAGGATATTAGTACAACCTGTGTGTGTTAGTCTTAGGCAATTAGAACTGTAAAGCTAACCTACAAAGAATCTATTTAAATATTCATGTGTATGAACAAGTCAAACTCTAACCAAACATGTGTATCTATACGTCCATCTATCCATCCATTGAATTATATTCCAGGACGGTGTGTTAGACATTGATTATTTACACAACAAAGTCAGTTTCTGCTGATTATAACTGTGTACTGTATATTTAATAGAAGGCCTGAAGAAGACTCAGTCAAGTTATCCAAATCCAGATAACTCACTGGTCTACACACTAAGTATGCTTTTGCAATATTAATAAATAGTGATACAACTACAGATTAGTTGTCAGGAGAGTGGTCTAGTGGTCATTGTAGTTTATACAATACATTGTGTTGTGACATTTTTTAATTAAATTAAATTCAGTTTTATAAGGCCAAAATATAACAGAAGTTATTACAGGACTTTTCATATAGAGCAGGTCTAGACCAAAAATGATTTACTGAGACCCAACAATTTACACCATGAGCAAGCACATTTAGCTGTAGCAGAGTGATTGAACATTAAAACAAACAAAGAAGCTTTTGCATCTTTTCGTTTTTGTACAGTATAAACAGTGGTTGCATCACCAACACATGGTGGACTAAAAATTAAAACTACTATATAGAAAGGTAATTGCAAAGTGTAAATATATTCAATTGCAGAAAAAATACAGACCATAATTACATTACATATTATCATTGCATGAAAATGGGGCCAAAAGTAAAGTGAAACTAAGATTTATTAAGATTAACAATGCTCATGGAATGTCCATATCTTATAGATATTGCAATAGCAGCGATGAGTCCTCTAAAATGAATCAGTATACATTTTACTAATATAAGTTGTGCTCAATGTGCTCGCACATAATATCTCCAGTATGAAAATGTCTGAGTATGGCTGCCATAAAAAGCAAACTCCAACCTGGAGGAAAAAAAAGAAAAGAGAAAAAAAAACAGAAAACAAACAACTGAGGCTTCTTAAATGTTTCCTCTGATTAAATTATACAGACATTAATAAACAAATCCATTATTTGGATATGAACAGACAATGGCTCTGAACAGATACAAGAGAGACGCGTCTGAAAGGTGAATGCCAAAACAAACAAACAAACAAACAAACAAACAAAAGAGAGGTTTTTTTTTTTATCAATGGCTTTCTCACCTATTTCATAAACACTTCAAACCAACTTCATTTTCATCTGGACCTCCTCCCTTTATACGCACCACCTCCTGTTTTTGAAGAAAAATCCTGCAATATGGCCCAATGAAATTCTGACTTTTATTTTCCCACTGTTGAAACTTTCTGTTGTATTTCCACTATTCACTCTCGCCAGGACCTTCAGACTTACTAAATTTATTTTCATAAAAAACAATTTAATGCAGAAAATGAAGCAGACGAGACAAATTTTAACTTCCTGTATGAGCCATGGCCAGAGATATTTTTGTGACATACAGATTACACCCCTGGTAAACACTTGTCATATCTACTTACAGTGTGTTATAAACCATTTATCAGTTGTTTATAGACTGCTTATCAACGCTATATAGGGGGAGTTAAAATGAAGCCCCATGTCTAAGTGTACCAGTCCTCTGTACATTCCACCCCACGCTGCACTGATGGAGAGAGTGCCATTCTTATGGAAACACAGAAGAAGTTTGATGTAGGTGGAAAGTTGAGTTAAACTTTCCAAATCTTGAATCTACAAAGGTTAAGAACACCGGCTGATCACCACACTTGGGGTCTTTTGAGTGTATTACAATTACTCTAAAACACATGAAACAATTCCAAACATGGAGGTGATTTATTACATTAGCGGCGAGCGGTAGGGACCAGCACAAAGGGAGATTGTATGAAGATTACAGTGATGAAATAGTCAAATTTATTATCTTGACAGCTGGATATTCCAATTTCTTTGCCGCTGAGCCATGTAGATTTTCCAGAGTGCAAACACGTTTAAGTACTTCTTCAGAGTCAATTAAATCAGATACTAGTTAAATTACCATTTTTATTAACCTACAGGTTCACATTTTTGTAATTTTAATCACTATTGGAAAGACTATTAGAACAGCTTTCCTATGAAGACAGAACGAAGGGTCATTTAGAGAGCGGCAGAATTAATCACACAATGTCACTTCAAATCTACCTTTCAATTCACTTTAAAGCTCGCTCTATGATTTACATGTGCATGGAGAATTATCTGTGGTTAGTTAAAGGAGAGATTAGGAGTGGTGATGGGCTGCACCCACCTAAAGCTCCAGGAAACTTGAGCATCACACCTGAGCCGAAATAAGATTATTAAAATGAAGGTTGTACAGTATTTCAGAAGGCTTAGAGCTGGGCCGTTAAATGTCCAAAGTTCAACTACTGTCAATATTACGCTACAAATCATTTTCCATCCCCCCCATACCTGTGGAGTCTCCTTTCCCTCCTCCACTGGGTGAGGTGCGAGCCGGCCTCTGGAGCGTGGACGGTAAATAATATACCAAGAGAACATTAACCTTTAGTTGTGGTGTTAAGATAGAACCTCAATTAACAAGAGTAAATAATCCTTGTGATTACTTTTGGCTGGCCTTTATCTCGTACATAACCTAATTAAATGGACCATCCAAACATAAAACCACAACTAATCAAGAGCTTTGCTGAGGCATTGCAATATGACTGTGTGGGATTTTAAAAAACACCCACGCGTGTGCGAGCATTCATGCGTCCCTTACACACACACACATACACACACACACACAAACACACACTTAGTTTGAAAAGACTTAATGGATAATAAATAGTTTTTGGTTTGGAGTAACTCCTCACAATTCAGTTAATTAAATCTCACAAGGATTTCATTTTAAACATAAAATTAAATTAAACAAAAATTGAGTGAACATACTCTCCATCTCTGAAGGTTGTTTCATTAATTTACTAACCATCAGAATGACCTTAGGTGATTACTGGACGAGTTGTTCATAGTAGAACCAATGACTACAGCCTTTAAAATATATTGAAAAATCCAGTGAAGAGATACCTAAGGTGAACTAGTTTAAACAAACACAACCACACAGTATTTGTAGCTGCAGTCTTACACCAATGGTATTATAATGTTGCCCACTAGAGCTGTGGAATATGCCAACCATTTAAAGATAATGGTAATTTTGTTAATGTCAGTATAAGCTTTATCCATGTGCTTTTAAGAGATTTAAACAAAGCTTCAACACAAGATGTAACAAATTCTTCCTCATGCAACTGAAAAGCTGTATTCATTAAGAATAAAATGAACCATTGCTCAGTTCACTGCACTCAAGGATTTTGCTGCTACAGCTTCACTTGGTCTGGTATGACCAGCAGCTTATGGTGGCTAATGTTAGCAAACATTTAGAAAATACTGCTGTGAAACTGTTCAGTTCATTGTATTTAGTACTTGTATGTGCTGGTGCCAGTGTTAGGCATTTAGCATTATCTCACAATAAGGAACTATTAGTAACAGTGCAGGAGTCTTTAAGGTTGTTTTCCAGTCTGTCTGACAGTATCATGTGTATTCTGTTTCAGCTTATTCTAGCTTTTTACTGAAGGCACGAGATGTTTATTAAAGGTAAAAAAGGGGTTACCCAGAGTTCTAGGATAAATATTAAAATATGATCAGCAGATTAATTCACAATGAAAATAATTCATAGGGCTTTGATCCAATCCAGTACCTTTAATTTGGGCAAGCAAAGACCTTAACTGAGTCTTACGCTGCTCTCATCATAAACCACTTTGGAGAAGAGTGCCTGTTAAATGTTATACTATACTATAAAAATACTAAACTATACTTTAAGTCTGCATGTCCGTGATAATGATGTGACAGTAATGACTTATGGAAAGCAGCAAAATAATATTAGTGTCTGCCACAAAGGTAACTATTGCGGTAAAACAAAAAGAGTTGGGAAATGGGGTTTAAGGCAGACATAGTATCTCGTCTGGATACATTATATTTCCATTGCCAACATTATTTTACTGAATAATCAAAAACATTTCCATTTTTAGGATGCATGTCATCCCTCTCTCATTCTACCCCCTTTCCTGTCTATCTTCAGCTGTCGCTATCAATTAAAAGAATAATATAAAAGAACATTTTAATTTTTGACTGCAGTTATACACATATTACTTACTTACTGCACCAGTCTTAAATCATTGAAAAAACTCAACCTCCCAAACAGTTTCTCAGACAGTTGAAGTTATTTGAGGTCTTAATCAGGATGTAGAGGCGGGAAGTAGGGGTGCCAGGAAGGATATAAAAACCATCAATTGATAAAAAAGTGTGATGCAAACTCGCATCAGAGAGAGAGAGAGAGAGAGAGAGAGAGAGAGAGAGAGAGAGACAGACAGACAGACAGAGAGAGCTCATGTAGACGAGCAAGAGGGAGGGGGCGTGCGAATATGGACAGAAGTATCGCTGTGATATTAAAACACTTGCCTCCTCAGTGAAATGTGGTCTGTATCCCCACTGCTCTGCATTCTTAGAAACTATGATGAACTGGTCGTGGTTCAGATCTCTGCCCACTGTCTCTCCCTCTTCCTCCCCTTGCAGTTCTCATGCTTTAGTTGTTGTGTTGTTGACTGTGTAGTTGCCGTGGCTGCTTTGACATACAGTTGCTGTTCCAGTTTGCTTTCTGCTGTCAAATTGTAATAAATGGTTGTTAATAACTGTTAGATATAAGTTATCCTAGCCATTCAAATTAATAAGTGCACCACTTAGTATGACGTCATTATACAGACTGACCTTCTCCCAGCACCCTCCAACTGTGACTGACTTCCAGCGTCCCTGGTCTTCTTGCAGTAATATCAGATTTGGTTTCATTGTGTTTTCAGGTTGGAATTGGTTTAAATAGGCCATAGGAAATTGACTCCATTTAATCTGAGCATTGAAATGTAGACCGTGTAATCAGTTCTCGTTCACATGTGGGCCAAGATAAGGCTGGTTTTATTTGTGTGTAAATCTATCCTGAGAGGCCTCATTCTTGGCTGTGGCTATAGTAAGCCATGCCTCCAAGCTATAGCAGCGTGTGTGTGTATGTGTGTGTGTACATAACTGGTCCTTCACTTGGGTCCACACCCTCTGCCTCAGGATCCTTGTGTAATTGAGAGATGATCTGGGCATCGCACACAAAGCATGGTCACACTGCCTCGGGAAGTGAGCACAATAATCTTTGTAACAAGGCGAGGAAGCCTCTTCCTCTCTCATTGTGGAAATAAGGAAATGTAACTCAAGGGGAGATAATATAATTCCTTAAGTGTATTGTTAAATAAGAGAAGAAGTACCTTTAAGCAAAGTCAAATCTGACATGTATTATATATCCCTTAACACCTCAGAGTCGCAGTCCTGCCTGTGTATGAACACTGTACTCTTTGTTTCAGCAAAAGTTGCCATGTAATACAATACGTGTATGTATTCTTAATCATCTGCATCCATATTTGTTACGTTAGCTCGATAGCGGCACAATGCATTATGAAGAAAACTTGATTGTGAGTTGTCACCTGAGCCTCATTCCCTTTAATTAAATCCGTTGTGTGGACATATATGCATACAAATGGCTTATTTGAAGAGTGGATGAAATGGAGTTCATTTGAAAAACTACAACAAAACCATTTGTTCCCACCAAAACAGCACTCGCAGTATGACAAATGATGCTTTAGTCTTATGAATAATTCTCAAATTCTAAGCAATCAAGTTTTAAAGATATCGTAAATCCTGTTTAAATGGGCTCATTCATTACATCGCGGATATGGGAGGGATGCTAATAAAGTGTTACGTCTGAAATTGTCACTGACTTCATGCGTCGCTAGGAGATGTTCAGCGCAGAGCTGATGTATGGTGCGACTGACTGTATGGTGATGGAAATGTCGCTGTGGCCTCGTTAGCATTCTGCTGTAACCCTCGGGCAGGGGTGTCAGATTCTCTCAAAATTTACAGCTCAGTTTGGAACCGAAAGACTCTGTGCATAATGGCTGTGAGGGGCCTTATAATGAAAATACTCATCCACACTAGCAAGGTCTGCTATGAAGAAGATGTTGATTAATGAACAAATACATATGGGAAGGGTTAGAATTGGTCAAAGCAGCAAAAACACACAAAGCTGGAATGGTTTTCATTAAATACAGTTTGTTAGTTTTCCTACATTATTTTAATCGTTTTAGTTGCTCTATGTAGTAAAGTCCAACATCACACATAGGCTTCAGGCCTCCTGCTATCAAACTCAGGTAGTTATCAGGAAGTTTTATGAGCGTTTTTTGAATGCCAACAAATCATTATAATGAAGCCACCACCACACTGTCTCATATCTTATGGCTTATATCTTACTAGAAGCTGAAGAATACAGTATGTTCAAGGGGAATATTTTGTTAATATTAACAAAAATCAATGTAATAATAATTAAATTATAAATCAAATCAAAATAAAAATCAATTGACGATGAATCTCAAAAAATGTCACTGATGATGCCACTTAGTAAGTCATTATAAGATGTCATCAAAAACTAATGCTGTGCACCAAACATTGTACAAACCCACGCAACTTCATGGTAATGGTAAAATGTTATTTTTATTTCATTACTGTCAACAAACCATGTAGAAAAGACAAAACTAAATTGATGTAAATACTTGTAAACTTACTAGCGCACCAAACGTGTTACCGTAATCTGCATCTGAAAATAGAACCTAATAAATACACTAGTACCACTGCTTGTGTTTTAGTGATGTTGCTGTTTTTTTAAGTGAAAGTACGTGATTGTGTGTTTAAGTCTTAAGTATAAACCAATGGGCTAGAGGTTGAGTGCTACAGACTGGGTAGGGAAGTATTAAGAGACTAATACAATGTTAGTTTTGGTCTTTTCATGGGGTATGTTGATAATGACAAAAATATACACTCACCGGCCTTATTCAAATTCTAACTCTGGTTATCCCAAAATCTCCAAAGATAACAAACACGATTTTGAGAAGTGTGAATAAAATTATGCACATGACACTTTTTTAAAATCCCATTTGAAGGGATGGTGCAGTCACAAAAAAGATGGAATCTTGGGATTGAATAGTTCCCTCTGTGTTAGGGCTGCAACTAACTTATTGTAATATTATTATTATTTTCTTGAATAATCGATTATTTGTTCAGTCTATAAAATGTCAGAAAATAATGAAAGATGTCCCTTGCAAGTGTAAGATGACATTTTAAAGTGTTTTATTTTGTTAGTTAGTTTACAATCATGGATGACAAAACAAAAAAGAAGTAGTCAAAATTGAGTTTTTTGTGTTACTTTTGCTTAAAAAATCATTTCAGTGATTAATCGATTATCAAAACTTTGCAGACAAAGGTTTTGCAGACAGAGGTTTTTCTCATTTCAGAGAACTGTTGTTTTAACTGGCAAACTTTAGAGTCGCAAACACAGCATGCTGACATCTATTTTGATGCTGATAGTACGGGATGGAAATGATCCTGTACATATGGATTTATGCTGCTGCTTTTTTGACATATTAAGAAGTTGGATATAAAAGAATAAATTCAATGTAAAGATGTAAATGAAAAGACTACAGAATGACTTTTTGTTTTGCTGCTCTGAATGCTACACAGGCCTCATGTATTTGAGACAGTATGTAAATGACTACAGCCTTTCAAATGTTCCTGCATGCAGTGCTCTCCTGTCCTGCTTTAGACATCTCATTCCTTGAGCACTCTGCTAAGAAGGGTAGAAAATGTGAATTACAACTAAGCTACTTAACCACAATGAATTAAGGCCTAACGTTTGAAAATTTGATACTGAAATTACTGTCATTATGGTACATTATGTCTGAGCATAATGATTGCTTTGGCGCTGTTTGAAGACAAAGGCAGACTCTGGGGGGAAAGCACAGTCAGAGGAAAAGTTGATTTCATGGCTGTTAATGATATATGAACTTCAAACCTTAATTTTAGCAGCCATCATTTCCTACCATTTCACAACTCTTCTTTTGTTAGCTACCTAAATAGTAACGCATCTGCAAATGATTTCTCTTTCTCTGGACACAGAGTGAGCCATACCCGCAGAGAACTACTTGTCAGACAGAAAAATTATTCTTTTTTAAGTTCGTTTTGTACAACCTGTGCTTCAGTGAGGAGCTAATAAGAGAGAACATACTGTGAAGGATTAACATGAATGCATAGTGTTTTAATCTTTCATCACTAATTGATAGATTTGATGGGTTTATAGAACAGTATACATTTTGAAACCATATGTATATTTTAGCTTAAGTAGGAACAGTTAGATATACTGTACTCATGCAGAGCTTTCTTTGGCCTCTGCTGTGTTTTTGTGGGTACAAAGTTTGCACCAAATATCCAGGGTGTTGACAAAGAGATGAATTGCATACCAAGATCAAGGACCACACAGTAACTGAGACCACGTTTTCCTCACAGCTGTATTATCGAACTATCAAAACAGACGTGGAAAATGGGACTGACTTAGACTCCATTTTTTAGGATGTTTCCAAGGTTGCAAACAGTATGGAGACCAACTGGAGCTGTTATTAATTCTCCATCAGTTTCAGTTTGGATGCCTGAAAGCCAATTAAAGGAAATTTAATTGAATCAGCCTCAGGACCCTCCCGAACAGGAACTCAAATGAATTGTGCTCGGGGACGGATGGCAGGAGAGAGAAGGAGGGCATGGAGGTTAAATAAAAAGGGTGAAATTACCAAGAGTCCAAGTCTTTGCTTAGAATAATGGCTACAGACTGACCCTGCTATGATGTAAATTAAATCTTGTTTGCAACCTTATCCAACCAAACCACATGCTGTAGTTTTTGTTTTTCTGTCCAGTGATATTATGGCTCTGCAGTCTAAACTTGTCTAAAGTTTCAGTTTTAGTGTGGAATTTGAACCAAACACAGATGGTACTATTTGTGCAGACCAGCACTATTTGCAGTAAGGAAAGAACATTACGTTTTAAAGTTTAACTGAAATAAAACAAACAAAAAATCTTTATTTTTCAAGGATTTTTGATTTTTTGATATTGAACAACAAACAATGTTTTTAGCAAACATAAATGTATAGTTAGTTCAATTAAAACAAAACTATGCATTAATGTTTACTGAAAATATGCTTTATGTTCCATATCCTAAAGGGGCTGTGTTTATATCTCTTCAATTAAAGAATCGCCATAATAGACTATTTGTCAAGTGGTGCCCAAACCTTTGCATACGACTGTATATATATATCTCCTTGGTGTTTGTTTTTGACTGTATTAGTGTTCTCATAGATCTCTGGTTAAATGTGACAATGTAGGTACTGGGAATGGTTTGATTGGTTCAATGTCTATGTGGGCGGGCACTAACAACTGTAAATGGTTAACAGCCATACAGGCAGTTAACTTGGTGGATTAACGTTGTTATCCTATCTGTGATTTCCGCATTCCCTACGTTATTCCATGTCATGATTGATGTGCTGGTTACAGGAGTATCTGTTGCATTGAGTTTTCAGTGTGGTCGTTAACCATCACATCTAACCTGCTTTCTTCTATAATGTTAGACAAATACAACAGTGAGTGTATGGGAGCTCCCGGTGACTCATCAGGTGTTAAAATAAAAAAAGAGTAAAAAAGTGACGTCTAATGGGAATCCCTGCTAACATTACCAAGCTAGGCTAATTAGCTTCCACTTTCCAAATGGACACTAGTTAGCCTAGCTTGCTAGCGTCAGCTTTCCAAATGAAACAGTGTGATGGTTCCTCTGTTGAATGTTGTCAAGGGACAGACTGCGTTATAAACCATTAGCGTTTGCTAAAAGCACTAATGAAAAATAGAAAAGAATTACTGTAGAACAGTATTATAGTTTCTATTTTCTCACACAAAAAGTGTGGACTATCCAAATTCCAGTTTACAACTTAAAGAAAATGACTAACATTTACAAACATTTATTAAAATATTGTAAAAAAAAATTCACACACACACACACACACACACACACGCACACACAACCTCAAGGCCATGTTCCATTGTCCTGGGAAAGCCATGAGGAGGAATTCCTTTCATGTGTCATCTCCTGTCACAGTAGTGTCCTGACAGAGGCTTAGTGACATACGAGAGGCCTCGGCAGAATGTCCTGCTTTTAGTCAAATGAAGAGTCTGGCAGCTGCTACATTCATCAAAATCAAAGGATAATCTGCTTTCCATATAAAATCAAGCGATGATTAACATTTTTTGGGGGAGGGGGGGTGATATAAATGGTAACACCTTTAAGGAGACACTTGAGAGACACGGGGCGGGGAAGGTTCCAAAATGGTGCAGAACTGTGTCAGGTTTGAAGTTATAAGAACGTTGTGTATAAACTAAGCTCTCAGGTTAGAGTGTTTATCTGTCTGGACTGATTTCTGTGTTATGACTTTAAATGCCCGCTACCTTTTAAAACCAGTTCATTTGTGTTACAATGTCTTTGAAATGCCATTTATTCAATAAATTCTATTTTGTCTGCAATATGTATAAAACATCATCTATATTTCCTTTTTTTCCCCCTTCTATTTTGCATAATGTTTTTGTCCAAAATAATGTATACGTCTGTGTGATGAAGTGAAACACAAACTAGCACATTAACAATGACTGGAGAAGTTCTCTACTATCTAAACATTTCTCCAAAGCATCTTCTTTGTTTACTCTAAATTTCTGCCATTGTGGTCTGGAAAATATAATAATGATATATTTACTTTTCAAATCCTAATTTCTATGACATTTTAAGTATACATTCTGAAAGTTATTCAACCTGCACATTGTTACATTACACTTTCATACACCATGACCAAGCTTTACACCCAGTGGCATCACTGTTTGTTTTCTTGTGTGACAAAGTGGAATGGCATCATTTTTGCAGACCTGTCACTGCAGCAGAGGGTGACAGTGTTCATAAAATAATTGATTTAAGGAATCTTCATGTTGTACTCATTTTAGAATTTGGCTGTTAGAGAGGCTTAAGTGGGAAACACAGAGCTCCTTCAATCAAAGAAAGAGAAGAATATGCAGCATTACAAGAAACAAAGAGGATTCCATTAGGGTATTAATATGAATTAATATAATATACTGTTAGTCTGCAAATGTTGGTTTAAAAATATCAGGATTATTTGTATAATCTATGTCTTTGTATTTTGGATTTTGCATTTTATTTTGTGTTTGTTTCCCTGAGTAAACCATGCAATTAGGTACCACTATATGATACCTTTGCTACTTTAAAACAGTAATATTGCAATGCGGTAGTTTTATACAGCATTATAGCCTCAGAGAGTATTCAGAATAACATCTTGTTAGCTACAGATAATACAGTTTTTGTTGAAGATGTACAGATGGGATTAAACCAATTTTCTAAATGGTCCAATCCTTGTCAACTTGTATTATGTAGTGGTTGCCATGGAAAATTATATAAAGTAGTCATTAAAGATATAAAGCTGGTAATGGAATATAATATTCATAGGTATGTTTTTATTAGTGTAAAATCACCTGAAAATAAGAATCGTTATTTTCGTTACCTTAGAATAAGCAGATTTTACCAATGCTGCAGGGTCACGTCCCGTGGGGGGGCTGCCATATTGAACCGCCATGTTTCTACAGTGGCCCACAATAGACAAACCAAACACCTGCTCTACATCTACATAGGGCCGTTTTTTGTGGCCAAGTTTCTCCGTGGCGGTTGGAAAGGGAGACTAAAACAAGAGTTGCAATCTGTAGCTACACCGCTAGATGCCACTAAATCCTACACACTGGACCTTCAAGACATTCACATTAACATACCTTATCATTTCCTTTTGCAACCATATATTATTTGCATGGATTGCATTTTATTATTTAAGATTATAAAAAAGTGTCCTGTCACAAAAAATTAAACAAAAATATAAAATAATTAAAATGTACAACCAGACAACTACTCTAAAAGCACCACACTGATGAAATTAAATTCCCTGAGAGGACATAAACTTTTGAAAACAGTTCTCTATTATACCAATATGGCTCCTACAGTTATCAGGTGAGGACCCCTCCTGGTACCAAGAATTACTGTTTTTCTATTAAGACTGCATCATTAGACACAAAGTCTGTCCTCCTCAGTCCAGCTCTGTGTCTAATCAGGGCCAAGGAAGGGAGCTCTGAATCTCTTCCTCCTTCACAACTCCCCACCAATGTCTTCTCCACCGGACTCCAATCAAAAGGAGCAGAGGCCATTAGGTGGCTCTGGACCTCCTTTTCATTATAATTACACCCTCCTGGATTGACCAAGCACCAGCTAGCCCTCTGCTATTTGCGGTAATTAGTCCAGAATGTGAGCTGTCAACACGCAAAAATCATGCCAGTAGGCCCACAATGCCACAGCCACCCCCACTGTGTTCAACAACAAGCACCTAGCCTCGGCCACTGGAATGTATTAACTTTCTCCTCTTTTTTTTTTCCCTCGGCGACTCATGTCAAATCCAGGTCCCTCAGAACAAAATCTTAATAATTAACTGGCAAATTTTAACATGATTGCTTGTGACACACCTACTCTGGTAATTACTGCTTTGAGGCCATGTGCTAATGAAATTAATGCATTCATTGCCCCAACAAATTAGCATAACTCATACAAATGGCCCACATTTGAGACCCCATTGCAAAACGGGAAAACAACATACAAGAAAAAGCAGCATTAACAAGAAAAAAAGCTAGAAAATGAAATGGTTGGCTCACTGAATCGGAGACTGTATGATGAGCATTGCCTGCTCAAAGTCTTAATAGCTAAAGCCTCTTAATGTTAACCAAGGGTGATTGCAGTAATGCATTACACAGTGATAGCAGTGCAGGACCAAATGATTATCACTATCATCATTATAGTCATTGCTGATCTACATATACATCCCTCTCTGGACAAATATTAAATGGCCATGCCACTGCAGACATTAAAATGTTATTATACTGATGCATTAACTTACTGCAGCAAAGTTCATATCAATATAGAGTAGAAGCTTCCCAACAATCATTCTCTAAATGGCACAGCTGCCATTCGCAGCATTCACCAGTCCTGCCACTAACCCCTGTTCATGGCTGTTTGGTCTCTCAGTGGGATGTCTCTCAGACATTTACTGCTCGGCATTAATAATTGATGATGATGCCATCGGTACAATTGACGAAGACAAGTGCAACGGTCAGTTGGAGATGCTGCAAAAGTGCAAGAAATGTCCCCTGTTAGGTAAAAGAAGAGCAGAGATGGTTGTAACACCTAAAAAATGTGTTTGCCTGCAGCCAAATACTGTCAGGGACACAGAAAAAATGAAAATGGCTTCCATTTAAACAACACTGAGTTATATTATTACAGTCAGGTGAGAGTATACAGGTTAGCATGACAGCTCATGTTAGTATCTCCACATCTGATATGGGCACATTGTTTTGTACAGAAAATCAGTAGTATCAGTATCATTTAAGGTCATCTTAGGTTTGGTCCAATGCATAATATATGATAAAGTGTAATAGTGGCTAGTGAAGAGAGGGTTTTTTATACTTAAACTGAAATTAAAATGATTTATTGTTAAATCAGTATATATGTAATTGATGTTTTGATTTTAATTAACAAAAAAAGGAAATTAAACTTATATTTTTGCAGCCACACTGCCTCTATATTAGTGTTTGATCTGAGTTTGGTACGTTGCGCTGGACAGACTCAATGAGAATAACTTGTGAGTCACAAGGTAGCCACGCCCAAAATACCCTGCTTTACTGTCTATTTTACTGTAAAGTGGACCATAATTTACTAAATGAGCCTCATGCTGTATGGAAGAAGACTTGATACTAGAGATTGAGACCATAAACTCATTAGAAAACTGTTGACTGAGCTAATAAAACAAGTCAGAAGCAGGCTAATTTCTCCATAAGACTCCATACTATCAGATTTTTTTCCAGCCCATGGAGCTGCCCCCTGATGGCCAATGCATAGAATGCAGGTTTAAGACACATCTGCGTTGCTTTACTTCACAGACCCAGAAGCTCTGTCTATTATATATACTGTCAATGATCTGGACCCATGAAACAGAGACAGTGTGTGGGAGCTGCCGATGACTTGCATCTAAACAGTTGCTAAAGCTGGAAAGCTAAGCTAAGGACCCAGGAGGTGCACACTAGTACCTGTGGAAGTGGAGGCTAACTAGCCTAGCTAGGCTAACTAGACTTACTTACTAACTTACTACTAACTACTTACTAACTATTCAGAAAGTGAGAGCTAGTAATAAGCTGGCTAACTAGCTTCCACTTTCTGAGAGGACTACAAAATTAACAACACAATCCCCCCCAAATATTGAATGTTGTAAAGTGATACTGGTCTTAAATCGCTGGTTGATGGTTGACAACCAGCGCTATACGGGTTTGTATCAGCATTCGTAGGATATATGATCATGGCTTTCTCCAGTCAGTAGAGCACCACAAATGCTAACAACGTGTCTCCTAGCAACCATGGCTCTCAATTGTTGCCATAGGAAACACCCACCCCAAGGCTTGATGCTTAAATGCTGTTTCTACAAATAAGTCCCAAAAAAGTTCTATCCTCTGTAGAAAAATATGCACAGTATCTGCTGTATCATTACAGTTTATATTTCCTTACACAAAAAAAAATAAGAAGAGATCAAAGTTCAGTTTGACTTTAAAACCTATGCTCTAGAAACATACACATCACCCTGTGGGTAACCATATCCAGCTGTATGTAACAGAGACATGTTGTGTGCTAAAAGAAAACAACATCACACTCGGGACCAATTGCTCTTTGCCCCCAAACGGAGAAAAACACAAATTCCTAGATGAATAACAACAACCAATGGAGACTTCCCCGCAGACTAAATGTTTCATTTAACTTTCATTAGTGTGTGAATCTGTGTACGCACATGATTTCATGTTTAAAATATCTTAAAATCCTGAAAGGTCGTCGGCAGAGTTACTGTGACATTTTCTTCCACAGAGTGGATCCGTCCCATACATACACACAAGAACAGACAGCAAAGATCACATTTTCAACCTGCCGCTGTAGAGCAAACAATGAATAAAACACTCAGTAGTCAGCTTTGACCCACTGCACAAGCATGAATACATACAACACATCAACAGCATACTTCCTAATCTGAGATGGTTAGTAATGCGGCCACCTTATCCAGCATGCAACCCCATCTGTGATGACACATCAGCTCCACCATTTCATACGAATAAACTCACAAACACAAGGCACAATGTGTTGACGGAAAATTTGCATTAAGAATGTACCACAGGAAAGCGTGATTAATTTCTGCTCATGAAATGAATACAGATTTTGTCATTACATGGCTTGTATCCTTTGCCAAATATTGTAATGTTTCTCCCTCCTTTTCCGCAGCGAGTGTTCTGCTGCAATAATAAGGAATAAAAGACAGCTTACAGCTCATAAGCAACACAACTGCTGGCAAATCAGCTAAATCACCGAGCAAAACAAAGATCTGATTGCTCATTAGTATTATGGATCTGCTCTGTTTAAATCTGTTTTGTGAGATGCAGCCACTGTTTAATGACTTAAATGGTGTTTGTTTAAATGCTTGCTACCTACATTTCACACGGTAAGATTAAAAGAATGAGACATCATCAGATATCTCACTGAATGTTTATAATACCCCCCCTCTCAAAACACAAATACATCAATACAATTACCTTGGCTTTGCAGACAATGCATCTCAGCCTGTCTTCACTCCCACATCCCTGTAAGGAAACAATATTTAAAACTAATTTAGTGACAGTAAAACATCAAAACAACAGTTCTAAAGCTGGACCTGCTGCAGAATGACATGCCTGAGTGACAAATCATTTGTTTGTGTTTTGATCAATAAACTAATTATGTTTGTTTGGGAACTGTGATTGCATCTTTAACCCAAAGGTGCATTATACATAATAATGCTAATTTAATTACAGTGCTAAAAAACCTGTATAGTTCAGAACACACGTCTCCAAACACAACAACAAATAAGAAAAAACAACATTTCATATTGTTGTTATGTATTCTGTTTTGTTATTGTGTATTGTCCAATGTAGTTTTGTGTTGCACCTCTGGGCCACCGTAGTAATCACTTGTTATACATACATAACTAGATGCTGTTTTAATGCATGCACTTCATGTAACACTTCCCATGACAGAACTGCACATGAAACAAAAATAACAAGTTGGCAAAACTCCTCAAGCTGGTGCTAACTATCTGAAGATGCTAATAACAGGAAAAGCATTTGTACAAACACAAACTGCCAAATCCACTGCTAATATGCATGGCATGTAGGAGCACATTTTGATAGATGTTAATGGCATATAATTATAGAACATTGCTATTAGGCAATGTGATTTTATAAAGAGGACCATTGCCCCTGGCACTGTGGCCTGATTGCTGTGAGTGTTGGGCTAATGAATGTAAACCAAGTCTGTTTGCAGTGATGAGAATCAACCCATGAGAGATAGACAGAGTGAGAGATGGTGGGGTGGGATGGAGGGGGGTTGCTTAACTCACTATTCACACCACTCGTAATTAAAGGGAAATATAGGCATGCATGCTCACAGTCAAGGGCATGCTTTCTGACATAAACACACACAAAAACACTTCCGTCACATATGAAAAACATGTCTAATACATGTCAGTATATAAACTGATCAATTTATGTTTGTATCTGTTCACAATTTGGTCAGTGCTTCACTCTCCACTGAATCAATGCTATATATAGCTAGCAATGGTAGCAGTTTCATAAACCCTCTTCTCACTTCTTTCCCCCGTAACAGTGTATTTTATTTCAGATGGATGGGATGACAAATTTTGAAGAGCAATTTTTTGCAGAATACTATTCCCATTAACTTCAATAGAGTGAAACCAGATGTATAAAAATGAAAAACAGATTTATCTGTCGGGAAAGCGAGTGTATACCATTACTTTCCAAAAGCCTGCGTCCTTGCTCTGTATATTCTCAAGCCGTCGTTGGGTTGGGCAGTGAGACACACCAGGCCACACTCGGCTGGTGCAGTACGAGCCATACAGTCCTCCCATGCCCTTGTACTTTGTGCTGTGAGGGGTTTCACCCCTCTAGGAATGCACTCCCTATAATGAGGGTCAGGGGTCAAAGTGCTGCTGCGCCTGGAGGCCGGGATCTCCTAGGCACACTCAGTCACTGACTCTGTCCCTATATTTAAATCCTGCCTCAGGACATGTTTTTCAAAGGGCATCTCCTAACTAGTTCCTGGTTACTAATTAGTTTTGTGCCATGCTATTTGTCTTTGGGAACCTGGGAAGGAGAGGGGGGGCACAAATGAGGCAGTCTAAAAAAAGATAGCGTATGGTTTGCCTCAGTGCAGATGATAATCATTCAGATAGTCCTCTACTGCAAACACGCTGAAGTATGTATCAACAGTTGTGGAAATGAATGCCAGTGCCGTTTTGTTGCCTTTGAGTTCAGCCTGCCCGCTGTTTAGTGACAACATCTGTGTGATACTGTTGTGGGTGAAATTAAATAAGGACGTGGAATTTGCCCTTTTTTGTTCAAGCTGCTTTTAGCACTGGTAACAGTGCATGCTATCACTCCCAGCTGGCTCTCTCGCTCGCTCTCTCTCCCTCTTTCTCTCTCTCTCTCTCGCAAGTCAAATCATTATTGGATTACATTTTCTGGCTTCATAAAATGCGGTTAAGAGGCACTTTAGACATATGTGCATGACCTGCTTTCCAGAGATGGCTATCAGAGCAAAAGTGACAGGTCAATTGCTGATTTCTGCTCCGTAAAAGGGAAAGGGGCTCCCTACCCTGAGCACTCTAAAAGGTCGCACACACTCTCGCTTTCTCCCTCCCTCTTTCTCTCTGTCTGCTTCTCTCACACACAAAAAACTAAAGTAGTCTTGTAGCATCAGCACACACTCTCAGCAGAGAGCTGGGTTCTGTGTGTGTGTGTGTGTGTGTGTGTGTGTGTGTGTGTGTGTGTGTGCTTCATGAGCCTGAGTTTGTGTGTCTGTATATAATTGTATAGTGGGAAGACACACACTTAATGGAAGTGGCTCTTCACTCTGACAGCTGGGTGGTGCAGATGAAAGGTCTGCTGTAGCATGTTGTCTACCACTTGTGGAGTATCCAAAGAGACCCAAAGCTTACAGGAGTGGACGGCACAACAGCAAACGATTCAGCAGCAGACACACATTTTATCCTTGATTCACATACAATGATTGTATGTGATAATAACTAATTCATATATTATGCACAGTGTATTGGCTTACAGATACAGTATATTCTGCTACAGAATTAGATCTAGATGTTATCATTTAGACTTGCACTCTGTGTGTGCCTCGTATGGGAGCAGATAGTACAGATACTGTACAGCACAAAAGTGCATAAGTGACACAGATTGAATTAATTTTCAGATGATCTGCTCTTTGGCTCTCCAGTCAAAGTGGTACTCGAGAGATTTAGTACTGCACTTATATAAAGCTGGGTGACTTGCAAGATACAGATTTAAAACATAATGGTCAAAACTGGTAGACCAGATTCCTATCCTGACCTGAAGTACCTATTATGGATGAAGCTCCATAAATTCTGGATACTACACTTCCCACAAGGCGACCCTCCCTGCCTGTTAAATGCCCACACAACTCCATGCCCCCACGTTGTAACACAATCTTTTGTGTTAAAAAAACACTGTTGTCTCAAAGCCCAAGCCTAGATAACTCTGATGACCTCATCAGCGTTGTTTTCTCAGGCTTAACAAAGGTCCCCCAGAGCAACATAAAACTATATACAACAGTTTGTCCTCCCCACAACTAGGCAACTAATCTTGACAAGTGAAATTGGTGGACTACCCTTCGACTGGCTCTCTATTTTGAACTGGCAGCTTAACCTCATACTTAATGCTGAATCTGTTTGGTTTGGGGACAGTTGAACTCTACAACAAGCTAAATATCACATATGTTTGACCTATTATGCCTTTGTAAAGTGGATATGGTCTGTTTTTGTCTCTACTGAGAAACATATCTGGCTCTTCATTGCTGGATGCTCCACTATGTTCACCAGCTAGTAGCTAACTTTGTCCGCCTGCTGTTTGGTGTCCATAGTTTATGGGTCTATCTGAGTTTGATAACAGCTGCTGATTACAGCTGCCAGCTGCTGTTGAAACAGGATTGATAAGAGTGGTGAACCAAAACAGTAAAGTTGCTGCATAACTGCAGAATTGGGTAATACATAAGTTCAGGACTAGAAGCGACCCTTTTCATATTACACATTCACTGTTACTGTTCATAGAAAGAAGGGATTAATGGAGCTTTATTTTACCGAATATTGTACATTGCCCAGTGCCTTCAACCATTGCTTCCAGTGTCATAATGCTATTATTATGATGCTCTTTCAGTTAGTTGAACAGTGATTTACATTATATCTGTGTATCAGTATATAATCTGTCCGTGCAAACTAACACACTCCTGAAGTGCATTTTCATGTCATGTGACATAACAACTCATTTGCATACAGAGGTTTATGACTTATGTGAAACATTGCAGCTGAAGTGTACAAATGTGCAGTTACATTTACATTTCCACATCAACACACCTCTTCCCTTACTTTTTAGCTTTTACTTTTTACTTCTGGGAAAATACTTATACAGAGGCAATTATACATTTTTACAATTCTGGCAGCAGCAACAGCAGTTGGCTGGGAATTAATGGAGGAAGAGTAATTAGCATGAGCAGCAATAACCACCATGACTGAAGAGGAAGAGAAATGTATGCCACCTACAGAAACGTACATTTCATTAACTGAGAAGAGTGTAAAGTGATCTTTTTGGAGGTGCAGTGCAAAAACACCACATCAGTAGGCAATGTATCGATACCACTACTGGTTCAAGGAGTGCTACAGATGTTAATGAGCCATTTTGCAGTAGGTGACAGGTGTCAGGTGCATGATAGCTTCCTGGAATCCTGCCAGTCCATTATGAGGCACTTCTCACTCTTTCAGCCCCTGTGTTTCAAATGTATAACGATGACGTGTTATCATTGTTAGCAACCCTCATTAAAACTAATTGGTATTACTATTTGAAAGGTAACTCATTACCTTGAGGCAAACAGCAACGTTTTTGTCTCAATAAGGAATTCTAACATGGCAAACACATTTATTCTGTGTTAGAAATCCAACACAGACATTTTCTCCCTTCACATTGTGACAAATGGCTGATGAGGAAAGAAGGCCAGACTTAAATTTTAAATATCAAGGTTCCCTACATGGAAAGTCTTTCTTACCCTCTGGATCCATGTGGACAGACACACGTGATGGGCAAGTAAATTCTTGCAGTCACAGAATTTCCTCAGTGGGTCACTGGCTTTAAGTTCAACATCCCTGCATATAAAGCACTCTGACATCTCTGTAGAAGAAGAGGAGAAGATAGGGGTTATGAACGGTTTAGCACTGATTTCACATTGCATCAAAGGCTAATTCATGTTCAGATTCACTGCTGCTCATGAAATTGTTAATTGACTCAAATTTAACAAAGATGTACAACATTGTATTTTCTTTAGAGTAAGACCAACTTATACTGCAACGTATTTCCTATTACAGCATTCAACACTCTCTGTACAGCTCCCTCGAGCATTAGACCTTTATTTTGTTCCCACTGGGAGTGTGGCAAAGTGAATCTGGGCTTTAAAAGCAATTGTAGCAGGTTGACATTCCTGACAAGACATTTAACACAACAGTGCCAGAAGCGAGAATGACAATGAGAAATGAAATTCAAATTTAAAGATTATTTTCACTAGAATTTTGTCTGTTATTTGGTTTGTTTTCTCCTTTGCTAATGGTGCCATTATTTGATTCACATGTAAAATAAGAAGCAGGTATAGATTATTTTCTTCATTCTGTTAATTCAGACCAAAAGGATGTAATAATGATTAAAGCCTCAGAAGAAGATTTTGCAAATTGGCTCCCCCAGATGTCAGAGGTCATCAGACTGAATTCTCAATACCCAGTAACTGCCCATTTTCTGAGGACTGTGTGTCTACATTTTTACTGCTTTACTATGACCGAGCCTTTAAGAACCGATTGAAGATTAAATTGACAGGGCTTTACCAAATAACCCAGTGGCTTACATTAGAATGGTTTTCTTGATAGGTTAAAAGCAATATAGAGAATACATATAAATCTAATCTGCCTCAATATAGAGATGACACAATAAAGTAAATGCTGTCCTCCCACATCATCCATACAGCAATCTCAGATGGGCCAATCTGTTATATGCATACAACAATACAGAGAGTTTGGAGATTTTAGTGGCTGGTATCTTCTTTTAAATCACAATTTCTACAGAGTGGACTGCACTGTATGTTTGTTATTTTACACTGTGCAGTTCACCAGGGTTACCAAAACTGCAGTTGAGGCTACAACTCTTAGTTAGTTAAAGTAGCTCAGACATCTATAAGATACAAATGGTCAACCTATGGACAAATCAATACACAAAAAACAAAACAAAAAAAAAAAAAAAATAAGAGAGGTACAAGCCTGTGTCTCTCTAGTTATAGGACTACCATCTCCAGTGATCCACAATGGCATCAATGGTCAAAAAAACTTCAATATTTTGAATATAATATATATATTATATTCAAAATATTGAAGTTTTTTTTATGTAGATCGTGCTAGCAAACAGTTGTTTACACAACCAGTGACATTAGCATTCATTTGGAGTTGTGTTTCTGGCAACCTGGTAAATGCAAGGGCAAATCTAGAGAAGTGCCATAAAAAAATGCATGGCCATCCCAGCTGCTACCCCAGTTTGGTGTCAAATGCTGTCAAATTTAACACATTAATCTAGATTAATTCCAAAAATAACATGATACAATACAGAAACTTAATGATCTATTATGGACACATTTTAGACAAAGTGATAGGGATAAGTGTAATGAAAAAAGACATGTATTTGGAAAAATGTCTTAAATAAATAAATGTACTGATTTCTAACGGCACCTTTAGATATCTGCATTCTATTATGTCTATGACGTAATGTTGTACCAATACTTCATATGGGGGCTTTTCCAAAAAAATATAGATTTATGCGATTGTAATTAAATCAGCATATATTTCTGCCACCCCTCCATGCCACCCTCTGGCATGCCATGAATACTTTTCTAGATCTGACCCTGGGTGTATATATTATTATTATTATAATATTCACTACATTTAACTCTGGTTTGGTCTCTACCAACTCCTAAAGGATGGGTGAAGGTAATACAAAGTTAATCTGAACATTTCATTAAAAACGAGGCTGATGAGACCACTGACAGTATATAATTAGTGGACAGAGCTTTTGGGAAGTCAAGCAAATGCAGTCATGTCTTAAACCTGCATTCTCTCTAATAGCCAGCAGGGGCAGCTCCATTGGCTTCAAAAAGACAAAACAAAAAATAGGGTGCCCGGTTAGCTCAGCTGGTAGAGCTGGCGTCCCATGTACCGAGGCTTGTTACCGTAGTGAACAGTTCCCTACAGAGTTTATGGTCTCCATGATAAAGTCGGGTATGCTTTAGAGAGTGGCTACAGGAACAGGATTTAAAGATGCTTGATAAATACAGGTCCTGGTTTCAGTGTGGTAACATCTGAGAGACTAATCCAAACACGGTTTACAAAATGTGCCAAAGCCTGGCCTGATGTAAGATTGTGTTTGGCAATAGGGTGAAAAGAAGAATCTGGGGTAGTTAATTGTTAACGACGACACATTGTTTGCTGCCTCCACAACTTACAACAGCTGCTTTGAAGTCACAGCTGAAACGATGCCTAATATCTTGCAGTAAAATGATCCGTCCCGGTTCAATTAGGAGTGGACATGAAAGGTGAGCAGTGGGATATCAAGCGCTAGTTGGCAGACATGTGGTCCTAGCCCAGGGCTGGGGTTAGCCACTAGATCTATTCACAGTTGTATGCTCCTTTGTGCTGCAACCAGCATCTCTGATTTAAACAGCAAAGTTCACCAATATCTCCATCAGTGAGGATTTTTGAAGCTAAATATTGGACAGTAGCTAGAAGCCAGATTTGTTGGTTTCATCCCATTAAAAACATTGGGAGACAGCAGTGAGAGCTAGCTGTCATCTGTGCGCTCGCCTGACTGGGGGATAAACTGCTGCCTCAGAAGCTCCTGTCTCTTTTGGGCCTCTCGTTGAACCGGATTGCTTCAGGTGAAAATCTATCTTCAGATGAAAAATCTTTTAATCAAAGGGTGAGTTTTTAATGTAGCCCATCAGATTCTGTGTAAGCAGATTTTATTACTGACCAGGCATATATCTCACCTTGTATTAATATCTCTGAGACAAGCTGTAATAAGAAAAACCAGATAAACTTTTTTTTTTTTTTCTCAGCACAAATTTTGGTCATGTCAAAAATTAGGCATTTTTAGATAAATGTGTGGTGTGTCTAGATGCCACTTCCTTTACCTGCCTGCTACTGACACCAACCGCCTGGCCTAAAAATGGAAATCCTTCCAGTGAGGTACTTTCCAAATACTACTGTGTGTCAAAATTCATATGTTTGCTTCCTTTCCGTCTGCCTGTCTAACAAGCTATCAGGTTTAGTTGGTTTTCACTCATTGTCAGAATAACTTTGTATGTGTAGGAGAGTTTGCAGAAAATAATGGAGCCATGCAGAGCCATACATATAGAGTATGACAGTCTAGCTAACAGGCAGTCTACGTGTTTCAACAGCCTGACCGAAAATATTTCCAAAGTTACTGTGATGGCAGGTTCACCAATTATACCCACAAGTCCTTTTTAACATTTCATTCCCCCGAATCTGTACTGCTTTTACGATCATTATGGCAAGCCCCGAGGCACTTGTGCAGCTAAATAACGGATGCACTGCTGCTGAGAAAATAACTAGAAAACAACATTACAACAGAGATGTAAACATGCGGCGCGTCAATCGTAGCCGAGCTGACACGTCTGGGTGATCTGTGACTCCCATAATTAACTGTCAGCGGTGTCAGTGTTCGGCAGCGTTTCATATGAAGGTGAGCGCTCGACTAACTGGCTGAAGTCACCCTCTCTACACGTTTTAACAGCAAAACAAAACTTCGTCTGTGCAGCGGCAGTAGCAGCAGCTCCGGGCTGTGTTGTTTCCATACAGGGTGATGATGTACTAAAACAAAGCTCGTCAGTTGGAGACGCCGATCTCCCACTATCATAGAGGAGAATGTACCAACACAAACTCTGTCGAGAGCTCTGTTTACACTACTTTACTGTCTGAAGATGGCTTCAGTGGTGGGCAGTCAGTGATGTTTTAATTCCCTGCTGCACAGTATCACAGACATGAATCATAAGAAAGCAGAAGGCAGTCAAACTGAGCAGTGTTACTTGCTGAGTCTAAAACACTGTACAGTACACTATACAGTAAACAAATGAGGAAAATGCCAGATTGAGATAATTTAATTGTCCGCTGCATTGCTAACGACCTCATTAACAAAAGAATGATGGGAAATCAGCATGGTCTGGGCGAGGAACCGCCTGTGTGACAGCCATCTGGCTACAATGGGGGGTGGGGTTGGGTGGGGGTTGGGGGACTGGTAAGTTAACACCGCGGCTGTCGTGACTTCCAAGCGCAGGCCTAGAGCACCTCTACATGGAAGCAGGGATTTACACATTTACAGCAGGTTACTTTAAATGATACACCTACAGTAGCCTACATTTAGAATCTATGTATGAAGGCATATTTCATACTGGACCTGCGTCTGTTTTTATCAAGCATCTCAGAGAAGGAAATTGGCCTGGTTTGAAAAAAAAAAAAAAAAAAAAAAAATCATAATTATTGTGACTGACTTTTACAGGATGGAAAACAAGCACATGAGCTCTGCAAAAACGGATGTGCCCACAACCTTAAAACAACAGAGGAAGTGCAGCTTTGCAAAAAATTATGATTTAGGCCTGCAACGATCATAATTTTAGCAGTAGTGGATTGAACTTTGATAGCTTACATGGGGCAGCAGATAATGTGTGGATTTATTCATTTCCACAAGCTTCATGCAAGCAAATGATCTGTTAATCATCTATTTATTTAAATTACATTGTATTTTGTAATGTTTTAGAGGTGTGTTCATATTCCTATATTGTTGCTTATAGAAATATCTAATATTTCATCCAACTGTAATGAGTAGACACATAAGTAAATAATAAATAATAGTAAATAAAAATGATCAAAATCAAAACAGCAGAGGTTAATTCCCCACAATGCAACTCAATACCGTCTTTCATTAGACCCTCTCTACTTGGTAAATGCCCACATCCATGCCTCCAATTTGTAACCCAGGCCTTCTGTTAGAAATCTGAAGTTTCCAAGTCCAAGCTGAGCTACTTTGTAGGTATCAGAGCTGCAACATTATTGCTGCGCGTGCCTACTCCTCATTTACAGGCATTATTATAGGCATTGTAAAACAATGCGAGGGCTGAGCCAAGTTCACTGCTATTTTTTAATTGTTTGCACTTTCTGTTTTAGGCCACACAACTGGCTTACCACTGTTAGCTTATGTACAGCCTACTATGTAAATGGTAAATATGATTAATTAGGCTATTAAAGCCAGCTACTTATTCATTTCACCATCATTTATGTATATATAACCTAAATAACAAATTCACCAATATTATTTGATTATTATGTTTTCTAAGTTCTTCCTTCAAATTTCAACATAATTAGAAGGACGGATTCTGAGATGCTTTACAGATACGGGCCCAGGTTTCAGTTTGGGTGAAAGAGAAAGTACACATAGTAATTCGATTCCTGCCAATAATGTAGAAATGCAATCTATTCTTAAGTGTAAATTACCTTGAAATGGAAAGGACACTTCATGACAACATACATACCTATGGATAAACTTCTGCATGACTCTGCTGAAGATAAAGGTTGGTACACACTGCCCATATTTCACTCTTTGTTGTGACTGCGAGACGACTCCTTCCACTCACTTCTGAGTATTTCCAGATACCAGCTGTTTCCTCCACTTCCTGTTCACATCCCTTTGTTTTCTCTCGCCGGGGTTATATGTACATTTAGAGACAAATCAGTGTGTCAGAACATAGGTTTACTACCGTATATCTACACTTTCTATTACTGCACACGCAGTCAGCTGATCGCTCTGTGTTTTTGTTTTTGAGGAAGTTGTGAGAATGAGCAGCCAATCACAGCTGCACACTGGGGCACGTCAGGACAGGAAGCCAAATGGGGAAAAAAAGTACAACTTTCAAGTGAACTTTAAAGACTGCATAGAAGCAGAGAGAGTGAGAAATGGATGAGTGAGATGCACCACAAGGTAGATTCTCTTTCATTCCAGCCACATGTATTGCTTTGTTTATGGGAAAATAGTATACGGTTGGTATGATTTCATAATGAAGGAGGAGCATGTATTGGAGGAGATTTCTGTCCTAAAAACAACTCTGTGTTGCAACAAACCATTATGTATGCTCACTGCTGGGAAATGACTAACAGATTTTGGAGTTTCCCCATCTATCTGCATACTGAGTGGATACAAATATCAAAATCATTTGTTCACTTACCAGCCTACAGCTCAGTGAAATGTAAACTTTTTTTTCAGTTGATGACTGAGTATGTTTAAAGTAAATTAAGTTATTATTTCCATTAAACTTAAATATTTCCTTAAGCTTGAAATTATCTATCTGAATTGACCAAAAATTGTATGAATAATAATATATAATTCTATAGCATTTATAGTAAAGCAATAAATAAAAAAGTAAAATCTATCTAGCCAGTCTGTTAGCAAGTAAAGAAAGCTTACTACATTAGGTAGTAATATCATTATCAAACTACATCATTTTGTGGGGTCACATTATGCTACAAAACCCCTAAATTAAGACTATAACATCACAGCATAAGTCTAGAGCAACATTAGCAGCTCTGTCCTGCCCCTGTTTGGGGAAGTTTGCGTTCCTGAAATAGCATTATATTTATCAAACCCGTTGGTTTACTTATCATTCTCAAAGCATATTCTCATGGCTCTACCGTGTAATACAAGGGCAATACTGTGTCTTTATTTCCATGTCTTCTACAGCTGGTGAGGATGCTGACTTTCTGCCTGGAACGTGTAGCTTCAGTTTCAGTCTTTTAGCACTATATCAAGTACGTATCCATCATGAGCATTCAGCAGGTAAAATAAGTATTAAACCGTCACCATTTTTCTCAGTAAATATATTTCTAAAAGGTGCTATTGTCATGAAAGTTTCACCAGATGGTCGGTAACAACCCATGCAATCCACACATAGAAACCATAATAAATAATTTCAGAAATTAAAGTTATGTGTAATAAAATGGAATGACAGGGACAAAGTACTGAACATGCTTACTGAAAATGTAATACTTTGTAAAAAAGCCTTTGTTGGTAATGACAGCTTCAAGATGCCTCCTGTATGGAGAAACTAGTCACATGCATTGCTCAGGTGTGATTTTTGCCCATTCTTCTGCACAAACAGTCTTCAAATCTTGAAGTTTCCGTGGGCCTCTTCTACGAACTCTGATCTTTAGTTCTTTCCATAGATTTTCTATTGGATTTAAGTCAGGTGATTGGCTGGGCCATTGTCTTGCTGAAATGTCCACCCTTGTTTCATCTTCATCATCCTGGTAGATGGGAGCAGATTTTTATCAAGAATGTCTGGTACATTTTTCCATTCATCCTTCCTTCAATTATAAGAAGTTTGCCAGTGCCGTATGCTGAAAAACAGCCCCACACCATGATGTTCCCACCTCCAAACTTCACTGTTGGTATGGTGTTTTTGGGCTGATGTGCAGTGCCATTTGACCTCCAAACATGCTGTGTATTATGGCATCCAAAGAGTTGAATTTTGGTCTCATCTGACCAGACTATATTCTCCCAGTATTTCACAGGCTTGTCTAAATGTTGTGCAGCAAACTTTAAACGCGCTTCAACATGCTTTTTCTTTAGCAATGGAGTCTTGCGCGGTGAGCGTGCATACAGGCCATGGTGGTTGAGTGCATTACTTATTGTTTTCTTTGAAACAGTTGTACCTGCTAATTCCAGGTCTTTCTGAAGCTCTCCACAAGTGGTCCTTGGCTCTTGGACAACTCTTCTGAAAATTCTTTTCACTCCTCTGTCAGAAATCTTGCGAGGAGCACCTAGCCGTGGCCGGTTTATTGTGAAATGATGTTCTTTCCACTTCCAGATTATGGCCCCATCAGTGCTCACTGGAACGTTTAGAAATCCTTCTGTAACCAACGCCATCAGTATGTTTTGCAACAATAAGGTTGCGAAGGTCTTGAGAGAGCTCTTTGGTTTTACCCATGATGAGATGTTTCTTGTGTGACACCTTGGTGATGAGACACCTTTTTATAGGCCATCAGTTGGGACTGAATCAGCTGATATTAATTTGCACTGACAAGTGGCAGGATTGCTTTCTAATTACTGATAGATTTCAGCTGGTGTCTTGGCTTTCCATGCCTTTTTGCACCTCCCTTTCGTCATGTGTTCAATACTTTTTCCCTGTGTAATTTCACATTATTACACACAACTTAATTTATGGACATCTATGGTTTGATTTCTTTGCATATGTGGATTGCATGGGTTGTTACCGACATCTGGTGAAAATTTCATGTCAATAGCACCTTTAGAAATATATTTACTGAGAAAAATGGTGACGTGTTCAATACTTATTTTACCCGCTGTATTTAAGACCCCTTTTTACAGGGTTCTTGTTTGGAAATAACTCAGCTGGAAACACTGAAAAGTTTGCTGAAGTTTTCAACCAACTTCAGCGATAGGTAATTGGCTAACGCTAGATATCTACAGCTGATCAAATCTGCTAGCGGCAGTTGTCATTTCAGCCGACAAAATTGCCATCAGTCATCAGATAGAAATAAGAAGCCTGCTTTTATTTACTTCTCTGTGAAATCAAAGACCCACTGTTTAAAAAAAGTTCTATGGTAAATCTATCATTGTTTTCATTGTAAACTGCATATCTATCTGGCTTTTGATACTAAAACAATAGCATGTGGTGTGTTTAGCTGACTAAACCAAGCCTGCTGTGTCTATTTTAGGAAATGGGCTGTCTGTTCCTAAAGGCCTGCCATATATTTGCTCAAAGATTGCTTTGCTTTTGTGACTTGTTAATACGTTATTAAGCAATGTAACAGATAAAACATTTTTATTTTTCATAACAAGGAAATAGGTTTCTATTACTAGCAAGGTTTATATTGTTCATATTGCCCTGCACAACTTAGAATCAATGTCAAAACCTTTCACAACCAACCAGATCACAGTTTGGGTTTTTTTCATACAAAAAAAGATTTAAAATCTGTATTAAAAAAAATTTCCACACCGTCTCTAACAAAGCCCTCAGCTCCAAATAAAAAAAACCTTGCAGAAGTTTTGGGGATGGGATAGGTCTACACTCTGCCTAATTAAATGGCACGTCTCCTACTATTCATGAAGAGCACTTATTAAAACAAGCATTCACATCCAATCCACTAGATAAATGACTTTACACCAAGTGCCATGAAGCCCATTAAATTGCTTCTTTAGAGATGGATCAGGTCCAAACACACAATCAAAGGATTTGACTGGGATTATCTCAGATTAGAAACACTCAGGGACAAATGAGGAGATGACAGGATATCATACATTGAAAGGATAAATTAGCAGTCACATACCAGACCAAATTTGTGATGGGTGTTAGGGAATAAAGAGCGGGGGAAAAGATTGAGTGCTAAAAAGCAAGGAACAGCTCTTTAGTTTTTAGTAAGCCCAATGATACACGGCCAATGTAAACCACAGTAAAAGCTTTTCCCTCTCCCTCTAAAACCTCCTGCCATGTAAATAAAGTCCACATCAGGGAACGAATCAACCACTAAAGACGAAGAAATAGACACAAAGTAACTTGTGAAAGATGAATCTGTTAGTTTATGACCTTATGGTGTTACTGTGAAAAACATAGCGTGCTTAAAAATCTTTCACACACACACACACACACACACACTTTGATACCGTTCCTTTAGTACATTTTCACGTTCACTCTCAAGTCTCACAAACATTCTGAAGTAGATTTGAAGTCATTGCTAAAAGTGGAACTAAAGTGAAACACAAGGACTATGTTTAACACGCATCACATAGTAATCTTGGAGTTCTCATATTTCAGTATAACCGTGTGGATGAACAAAACAGGAACATTGAGGGTCTTTATATTATTTTGTCACTTTTTCAGTCACAACGGAGTGTCTGAGACTATGAGCAGAAGTTGAACAATTATTTCAAGTATTTCAAGCCACACAGAAAAAACATATTGATTACTGTGGGTGGTTAGGCCTTAGGCAATTCCTTTAAAAAATGCAGATCTACAGGATTTGCAATAAACCAAACCATTTTAATCAAACATATGAGAATTGTGAGCTTAATTTTAAAAGCAAAAAGTAAAAGAGCTATTTTCTTGCATGGTAGATATTTTAGTTCCGCTCTAATTTGAATATTTAAAAGTAAAGTAAAGCAGGCCTAGTGCTGATAAAACACTTTTCAGGAGGATAAATAATGTAGGCAGTGGTTAATGTTAGCATGTACTTCTTTGCATATTTTAAAACCAATGAGGACCTCCATTCTATCGCATTAAACTAAGGCTTTCACTTTCTCCCAGACAGCAATAAAAGGTATTTCGGAGGGTTTGCACATTAAAGAAATGTGACCTATGGACTCAACATAATCTTCTCTGTCATATGCTCACTTGTCAGGCTCTTTTCCCTTTGTGCTATGGCTATGTGGCATGGACAGAGGGACGCAATACTGTACCTGCAGCGCCTGTTGAAAGCTGAACAGCTCAATTCATCTACTCTTTGATCTGTTTCATCGTCTTTAATGATGAATGATGTGACTTACAGGCTGTCTTTGTGTCGGATTCCGTTTGAGTTTCTCCACCGAAAGTTTCTAAGCTCACTATCTGTTGAACTGTATCTCTATACCTGGATATTGTATCTTTTGTGAATTATGACTAGAGACCAAAGGATGATTGGTGCATACTACATTTTGAAAAATGAACAGATTATGTCCCACTCTTGATGTTTACCATGAACTAGAACTGTACCAATAATCTCACAGTTAATTGGTAAGTAAGTTTTAGAACAAAAGCTACTTTCACAAC